ATTATTATAAATAGTATTTTTATTATTATTAAAAGTTAGTTTGCCATTAAGGAATTTGTAAAGGGAAATGTATAACGTTATTAATTTTTTTATATATTGTTGCTTTAATTCCATTTTGTTTATAGTTTTCTTGTGTAATGAGTGGGTTTTACAATTTATAATTTTTATCTCAATTAAAAATCTGAAATGTGAAACAAATCGCTCTACGTAAAAACGTCGTTTGATTTCTCGATAACGAGAAACGGATTGAAAAGTGATTCAGAATCTTTCGCATATTTTTTAATTGCCGATTCGTTACTGATCGCTGACATTAACGATAATACACGTCTTTTGTTTCTGACAACGATCTTAAAAATGTGTTATTGCTATATAATAAAAAGCAATAAAAAGTTAACGAAATATAAAAACATATACATGTTTCTTATATTTACATTGTTTGGTACATCAAATAGATTTGGATTACAAAGAAGTTAAAATACAGATAAAATAATATGGTCTTCAACATTTTCATAAGAGAAAATATTCGTAATTAACATTTTTTTAATGGCTGACAAAAATTTCTAACTGTAAATATCCCCTCCAACCAACATTCTTATTAAAAGGAAAAAAAAATAATAATCTAATAATAATCTATAAGAAAATTTCTATCTATAAGAAAGAGTTATTAGTGTATAAGTGTGGAATAATTTAAATATATAGAAAAATATAAAAACAATCAAATATGTATGTTAAATCAATAATTTTTAAACAAAAATGTATATTTTAAATATACTGTTTAGTTCTATTGTTGATATTAATATTGCAATATGCCGTTTCTCTCTAAGAATTAATACAAATTTAAAAGTTAAACTGTTTCCAAACTGTTTGCAGAATGGCGCTCAATTCTTTCTTTCAGATACTTAAAAAAAAAAGAAATACTAGAAGAGTCTACAACATTTTTACTAATGCTTTTTTGCTAATGTTTTGACATATTTATATAAACAAATTTGAATTAGATGATATTTTCGTACATTAAAATCTTGAATTATTAAAAGATAGTGAATGGACTTTTTATTTGAATCTATATTTCGATGTTACACGTTTGTTTTTTTTTTTTTTTTTTCCCCCCCCCCGGATATGCAGTGTCTCGATTCGATCGATCAATCAGCATCGAGGGTTCGCGGGAAAGACCACGGTAGTTCGACGTATGATGCCATCAATTGGAATAGTTTTAATCAACTTAACGGACCGGAATTTATAGAGCGTTCGTAGAAATCGGATCGCCCGTGTTACCCGCAGCGCTTTAATCGAATAAAAAGCCGCCACAATACCTGGAACGGATAAACGCAGCTCTCCTCCCTGTAGCTTCCCCGCAGCTCCGTCCTCCTATTCGCTTTAAATTACAACTGATTCTGAATCACCCACGTGTTGACGATCGAAATAGTGATCGTTTTGGGGACCCGCGTTCTGGTTCGAAAGTCCCGCGAAATTCCCTTCCGTCTTTCTTTCCGTCACGAATTTTTTTCGAAACTTTGCGCGTAAAGAGTGATCGAAAATTAGCGATTAATTTTTTTAGCCCGTTTTTTTGGAAAACCCCCCCCCCCCGTGATTTTGGAACTGAATTATGTGCCAAATGATGTTTTATAAATTAGGTTTTATAATTAAATTGAACTGAATTTTTAAATAATTACATAATTTTTATAAAATACTAATAATTATTGTGAAATAGTATTTTATAAAAATTATTTCGTCAGCAAATTACTTATAATAAATCGAGTTCTGATCTCCATAAAGATAAAAAACATTCTTTAATTTTTGTTCACTATATTGGATCAACCATTTTTTTCTGAAGATAATCAGATTTGTAATCAACGACCCAAGAAACCTCTAAATATTTTTCAAATTAAAATTTTTTAAAATATATGATCCACCATATCGAATCGGTCATTTTATTTGAATTTCGAAAATCTGATTTTAAATTCGTTATCAGCAGCCAGCAAGACTCCCGGGTACGAAGTTTTAAATTTTCGGACAGACATAAAAATTCATTCTTCGAAGCGACTGATACTTTAATGAACTTTGATTACTTTTGTCCCAATATCTTTTAACCAATACTCGACTCAACTTAAACTTATTTTTTGCGATTGATATCTTATCTTATCAGAGATTTGGCACATACAATTGTTTTAAAAATCACGGAACAAAAAAACGGGATACATTTTTGCGGGGTCTCTCTTTGAGACTCGACGCGAAATTGCGTTCGTCGTGCGTGCGTGTAAATCGTGTCGATTTGGTGAACATTGGATCCCAACGGAACGCCCAACGGATCGCCTCGGCTCGCCCCGATGCTATCGATTGTGCCACGTTGCGGGTATCGCGGGACACGCGATTTATCCGGTAAAGCGCGTCTGGCAAATTGCGGAGAAGGCGATCGATGCGCGCGCGATCCTCATAAATGTCATCGCGAGCGCATGAACACGAGTCGGACACGAGCGAGAACGTGCCCTTTCGGCATTCTTCTGCCGAATGCCGCCGTGAAACGAACGAAATGGCCGCATGGTCGACGAAAAAGGGATGAGAAATTGCCCAAATTTTTGGCCCTCCTCCCCCCCCCCTCCCCCCTACTCGGCGACTTGGCCGAAATCGAGTGGGAATCGAGTTTTAATTAATACACGACGCACACCGAAGTGTCCATTGCGCGTGATGCGCTCGAGGCTTTTCGGCGCACGGCGATTCTCGTCGGGATCGCGAAAAAATAATGTCGAATGTATTCTGTATTCCGCGAAAAAATGACGATGGTGAATGGCGAGAGTCAATATTTTGAAATATTGAACCATCTCTCGCAGCTCTCAGTTGTGTCTCTCTCTCTCTCTCTCAGTCAGAAATTAAACGTTAATAAGAATCAAATATGATTAATAGTAGTGCTAATTTATTTTAATTTTAACAGTTTCACATTTTGAAATTATCGATTAATAAATCTAATTAATTCTAATTAATTAGGTTGACGCGATAATCGATAGCAATCAGCCATTTCCCCAAATTGTATCTGTATTCTCCTTTAATTTCCGTAATTTCATCAATCAACATCATTTTTTCAAATTTTATTGTTATTTTATTCCATAGACGCATTGAATATTTAATATCAGTACTTATTATTTTAGTTTTTTTTTTTTTTTTTTTTACGTTAGT